TTATGTTATATATATCTTTATTATATACATATTTTTCAAATTAGCATACTGTTGTTTGATTTTGTTTTGTAAATTTAAATTTTAAGAAAAAAAAAAAAAAAAATGATTATGAATATAATAGTATTCCTCTATCTTAACATGTGTTAAAGATCTCGGGTTAATTAAATTTTTCTCAAGTTTTTTTTTGCCCACTTCCTATACACATTAGCTGCAGCGATGTCGCCTAGACTTCCGTTTTTTTTCTCTCATCGAGGCAAACCAACCAATTAACACCCCACATAAAAACTTGAAAACAAAGAGAAATATCGAATATGTATTTAGGAATATATAGATATTTGTAATTTCTAACTGACTTCCTGTGGCGACAACGACAGGCACTTCCTCCTTGAGGCCCGGCTGCTAGAGACTATCCTGCTAGACCTAAGCCATGTTAACCTATTACATAGGCGACCCAATGATGTTTATCTAATAACATTTTCGTAATTATAAAGTGAGGGACCGAACGAACGTCTGGTTATGGCCGACTACCCGCAGTAGCCCCTAGCCAAGTGCGATAATCTAAAATGCATTTTCACTGCGCCAAAGGACGAGCAGCAGCTGTTGTAGGTGTTAAAAGAGAGTCACATTTTGATAACCAAGTGGCGCAACCGCTGCGCATTCCGCTACATGAATTTCATGAATTCCAGCACCCAAAAGTCCTGCGTGTGATTAGTAAATAATTGCGCGCGAAAAAGTCATTAGAAAAGTGTTTAAGGATCGACCAGGTGGGGGTTGACCGACTGACTGCCTGACTGACTGAATGACAGTCGGTCTCTATTCGTGTCACAATCATTGATAATGTTGTCATAGTCCACTCACGCACACGCACACGCACACATCTACAGCTTGTGGCTTTTTAGCTTTCGTTGCTCTACCAAATTAAGTGAGTTTGCATAGTTTGGCCGGCCCGAGTGCCACCCTCTTATAAGGCTAGCCAGCCGCCCTATGCTAACCCATCTAGTGGCCAGTGCGCGCTTCAATATAATTGCATAATTGCCCAGTCATTTGGAATTTTGTCAGTTGCGACCCTCGCAACTCCATTTCGATCCACTTAAGTGATAGTCCATTTTATGCACATCAAATTTGTGGTCAAACATGTGTGCGACATAATTATTGGTATGAATTGCGCAAAAACACAATAAAGAAAAACTGAAAAAAGAGAAAATATGTCACACGAAATAAACTATAACGGAATTCTCTTAATCATCTGCCCAATCAAGTATTAGGTATTTTTTGTGAGGTTATGTGCATGTGTGAAAAAGTGTTGCATACTTTTGAGGGTTGATTTGGGGGGGATTACGAATGTATATTAATTGTGATTTATATTATTTCAACATCATTTATGTTATTTTAGTTTTTTTTTAGGGAATATTTAAAATAACATTTTCATATCTTAGATTTTCTTAAAGCATAAAAAATTAATTTTTTTTTTATCTATTGAATGAAAACTATAATGTAATATTTAGATATGTTTTTGTATTACTAAAAAGCGTTTCTAGGATATTATCAATATTTATTATAAATTTTTGTTATTAATTTGATCATTTACCTATCTTTTTTTGAATGATCATGCGATTATTATCGATGTGAGATCAGTATGATAATTTAATCATATTGGATTTGATAATGAAAGATTTTCTATGATTTTTACAAAAACTCAATTGAAAATTTGAAGAAATGAGGAACGCAACGATTTTCAGACTACTACTTCCGACTACTATCTGAATTTTCGGAGGGTCTTACTTTCTGTCTCGTCAATCCCTGCCTTGGCAATCAATGTGCAATGCATATTTGAAATATGTATTTACCTAGGTCTTTGCATTGCTTTGCTTGTCATATTCAGTATGGCTTGGCCTCTCTCCCCCTCCAAGAACATTTGCCCATTCCAAAGTTTTGATTATGCGCTAAGATGCTACAGCTGCCGCTGTATTTTTGCCTACCTAGACCTTTCACACCCAGTCGAAAAAATCCAAATAGATGCCAACTCGAAATTTTTCCACGCTGTGCAAGATTGAGTGAACTTTCACCGCGAGCGAAGCTGACAAATTTCTTCTTCGATTTGAACCTTTAACCAACTACGAGCACCCTACTGACCCAACGCGTTGACAAAAAAAAAAAAAAAATTAGAAATGAAAAGAAAGGTAAAAGTGTTGTGTGTGCGGTCGACAGCACGTACGAGCCATTAGTCCTTAGACCTCTTTTTATTTAACTCCTTTCTCTCTCTATCTCTCTGTGGAAGTCTCTTTCGCGGCTATAACTCATTTCTAAGCGATTCCATTTCCTTGTAATTTACTACGTGATTACTTTTTCTTGTTCATTAAACCATTAAACGCGATCGATAAAGCGTGAGGGGAGAGCGAGGAGCGAGGAGCGAGCTGCGACATGCAAGAGGATGGAGCGCATCAAAACACAAGCCTTTTTTTGCCGATCCTTTTTGGACCACGAAAAAATGGCTTAGGATTCTGAATTGATGTGCAGCAGCCCTTTGCTTCCCTCTCTTCTCTATACTCTGACTGTGAGCATTGTGATTATTTGACAAAGATTGGAATGCCTTTGATCTGTATTATATTCATTTTGTTTTTTTGTTTTCACTTTTAGTAATCTATCTATATCCATATATATTAGACATAAATAACATAGATTATAGAAATTATCTAAACTGTGAAATGTGAAAATATATA